CAACTCTCCACATGCCTCTAAGCATCAACAGTATATGCAGGTATCGACGTCTGCCATACCTGAAGAAGGCAACGCAACCTCCCACATGCATCTGACATTCTACAGTGACATCAACAGTGTTGTGGGCGCCTACCATTATCTTGTACCCGCTGGCATGAGCAACAAAGTTCAGTAGCATACGTATCCTCACCCTCTCACTTGTAAAGCCATCCCCTTTATCTATAAAAGGGGATGCGCTCCCTCCAACATAACTCAGTCCCCTTAGATTCATTAGATCGACCAAGTTCACTAGTCCATAACCGTAGAACCGTTAGGTTCGAACCTCAAGCACACGCTTGAACACTTAGCTCGTAGTGGAGCTCCTGTCGCTCTCGGCCCATCCAACCGAAGTCCGACCGGACCTCTCGTACACCCCATCTTTCTCCCTCTCGTTTGTAACCCCACTGCAGACATCGAGCACCTGGGCTCAGGAATAAAGTCACCGACCAACTCAAACTGGACGTAGGGCACGTTGTCTGAACCAGTATAAACCCTGTGTCATTGAGTGCTAGGCCACCTCCGATCACAACGTATGGCAAAACTACAAATATTTACATGTTGGTCACTTTCTGCACCGATAGGTACCATGAGGTGTTGGCATCATAGCCCAAAATACCTCTTTTCTGGTGAGCAAGACTATCTCTGCATGTATTACATCACTCAACAAGTTTCAGTAAGAGTGAGCAAAGCACTCTGCCATGGTCTTATTGACTGGATGACTTAGAATGATGTATACAGTTTATTTAGAGAAGTACGTGTCGACACATGTAGCCTTTCTATGATATAATTCTCCAGTTATCAAAACTCAAAGTACCCTGAATGACTCATCGTGACTTCCCGAAATGAGAATCAGGGCTTTCTGATATCCCAGCATCAGTATTTAGGTGCACCTCTAAGCTAGGTTTGTGGATGACATCTATCTATTGGGTAATAACCAATATTTACCCATAAGGTGTCACCAACCATAGGTTGACCTGCATTTACTATCTTAGAAGGAAACCTTCTATTGGTAGCATGAATAATCCTGCTTTATGGCCATACTTCCCCCCCTCTTATTTACAATTGGGAGTTGAGTGGTTTTACTTGGTACCACCACTCATTCTGGCACATACTTGCAACTGATTAATAAGTTTAAAAGACACCTTAGTAATCAATAAATGCATTTGACAGTTTATGTGCAATATTATGCAAGTCAACAATTATTTGAACTCAAAATTCAGTTCATTTAGTACGTGATCTTGAGCTTGAAATGTCTTATGCATTCCAAATAATTTCCTGGCATTATATATGGTACTTCAAAGCTCCCCCTAGTGCATGAAAATGCTCATTATCTAAATAAAACTAGCATACGGGTCGTAAATGGATCCTCAGTTTCATAAGAGATCTAGATACTTAACAATCGACGGAGATTAAAATCTCACATTGATCCCCAGTTTCCTGTATGTACTCATCAATGTATGCCGTGGTGGTGAGATTGGTACGTATACAATGTACTCAATCTTACGCAAATAGGAAATTTTCTTGATTCCCACGTACTAAATACATATGGGGGATATGCAATTAATCTCAAATCAGGAGTGTGTAAATCTACCTGACCCCTATACGAAGTTGGCAAATAGCAATTCACTAACAATGGTCCTGCTATGACCTTGATGTCATACTCATAGATTCCATTTATCCTTTCGGATATGTAACTAAATTTTTGTTGTACCAAACAATCGTCATTGTAGGTACAAAAATTCAGTAGTGTTCCGGATAATGAGCTCACAACAAGAGCCATTATTTATCAAATGCATGGCTGAGTGTGGATACTTTCACACACTCTAGATCATTTTATAGATGTATCTTTACAACCATGAAATGCCTGAACTGTCCATACAATCTTTGTATCGGACCCATACATATTCTCTTGAATATGATCAAGGAATCTAAGACATTTAATCTGATTTTAAGATAAGAGGGTCTTAAAATCTATTTCCCTTGTGACACTTATCGTATCCATACTTTGAGAAAATCTTGACCAAAAGAATTGCCAATAATTTTTCACCTCATCCCATATGATGGCCAAGTTGTTCATTCCAAATCTGGAATGCATCAATAGTGTGAAAAATTATCTTACACGCAACATATTGTACGGGGATGGTTGTATGCATAATACAACCAAAATGAGACTTATCTCATTACTTACATGCCATATCCAATGTTGTTCTTTTGTGTTCACATACGAAAACATATTTGGATATCTCTATAATTTAGTAAGATGCGAGTTGAATTGGGACATAATTAAATATCCTCAATTGCTAACTCAGTATCTAAGCAAGAATGACAGTGGCAAAATAGGCCAAACAATCATTGCATCGCATCAGCGATGGCCAAAATATTCCCTCTTCTTGTCATAAGAACCAGAAATATTTTGCTTCCCTAGTTATAGAGTTTGTGGTACAAATGCCCACTAGGCACATATCATTCCACATTAGAATGATTCCCATACAATCTATATATGACAAGAGTTTAATGAGATTCTCGTCTAATATATAGAAATCCATAAATATTGCCGAGTATCAAATACATCGATATAATACCCACAATAGTTATGTGTTGACAACACAAATATTACAACATCTTCGATGGACATTATCATATATTATCAACGGACGATGAGATTATCCCAAATCCTAAATCTCCAAACAAATCATTCGAAGCATATTCGATGATCATGTTGTCCATCTCTGTGATGTTCTCTTTATGAGAAAAGAAGAAGTGTTGTTATGTGATCCCATAAGATCCAATATAAACAACCAACCTCCTATGTGGCTTTAGATTTTAAGATTGAAGCACCCTTAATATCTTATTTCTGTAGCTCCTGTTTCATCCCTTATAGAATGTTGATATAGATCAACTACAAATTTAAGAGTACGGCATTATTTAGCGCTATGCTAAACACAACCACATATATGACATTACTCTTTGTCATTCTTGGGTTCACATTGCCATTACTCATATTTGCACATTAGGCCTTTTGCTTTTACTAGTGGAAGCAAATTGTATGAACAATATGATCATAGTCTTCAATAGGTTGAAAAACTAGAGACATGATCACTCATGATTAGCCTCAAGCTATATGCGTTTATTTATTGTTCATAAAATTCCTAAAAAGTGAGCCACAAAGAATGTGCATTTCTTTCCACATGATAATCTTATCGATGATCTTTATGGACGTATAGTACCTTAACTACAGTAAGGCACAATTCCCTTTGATATATAACAAACAACCCTTAATTGATGTTCATTAAATTATTCTATTAGTCCATAGGATAAAACCAATGTTAATGTCCATTGTTCATGTGGGATAGTGATGCCATCTAGAGCGAGTTCATCAAACTCCTCTGAAGTCAATATCCACAACATGTGACGAACTATTGATTTAATTAATTTACACTTGAGGTAAATTAAAAATCACTATGGTGATGTAATCTCCAATGCAAAAATTTAGGGGGTTCCATATCTTGTCACTTTGTTTTGGATTGTTGGAGATAGTCAACAAAACTATAAACTTTCCAACAATTAGATATAATCACAAGATGTGTAGATCTCACGAACAATCATTATTAATGTTGGCACACACATTGTAGATAATCTCTATGTCCGAAACATAGAGTAGATCTCTCAGTAGTGAGCAAATAATTTGCTGCTACAGGCACGGTCTCTGGGCTGATATATTCATAGGAATATACCGCAGCCAATGTCTAAGACTCTACCACCGTATATATATCCTTTAATAATGAATGATGGTAATCACCATAAAGTGTACCATTCTCATATTTCCAAAACACTTATTTGAGACAACACAATGTAGCTAATCATCAAGTTTAAAATAAACATGATGTAGACCTCTTAATAATGGGTTAATAATCGCTACCATAGGCAAGGTCTTTGGGTCGAATAATTCAAGATGAATTAAACGCAATCAATGCCTAGGACTCCATCACTTGTGTTATGATCCCATATGTATGCAAGATATGAATATAATAATTTTGCATAATCCATCATTAATTAAGAAATGCTTATTTAAGAGGATCTACCGTTATTAAAATGCAATTTATGAAAAAATTGCTAAATTAACAAGGTCAACAAAGTACAGGAATAAACACTCTACTATACTGATACCGTTAAAACAGGAAATTTACTAAGCACATAGTGTTTATAGTGAGCTTGTGGCATAACTATGCAAAATTCCGTATGATCAAAGCAAAAATCTGCTTTCTATGTTAGCCTCACTAGCAAAAAATGGTTTGGCTATCATTTTGCTTTTTCAAATTAGGCACATATGAGCCTAAATTATCTATCCTTAATTATCAATTAATTAAAAGGATTCGATTTTGTTGCAACCAAAATTGATTGCCAAACAACAAAATCGACAAACTATGTATGTTTAGACATATATAATTTTCTGGTCTAAAACCAAAACAATGTATTAGAGTAAAAACTCTACCATACCGATATTGTTAGAGTTGATGACTAAAATAAGAAGACCATAGACATAGAAAATATGTCTCAACATTAACATAGTAAATAACTGCATTATATTATATTATGATGCAATGTCTAAGAACACATACCTCAAAAATTGGTTCTTTACACAAGGTAAATACTGTGCATCATAATTTGTTTAAACCAGAAGTCTAAATCGAGCATTTATATTGCAGAAATGTATACGAGGTCCAAACATGAAACATGAATACACTAATAATCTATTAGAATTATTATTATGTTGTCACATCAAGTATAAGGGTTTATGTGCAAATCTGCACAACCTTATCCCTTCCGATAGGCCACAGCCACAAACGCACGGACGGTTTCCAAAAATCGCGTCGTTTGGCCTCACGGGCGCAGATGCCGCCGCCGGCCTGTTGGCAAACATTGCCGACTGCCGTGGTCGGGCGAGCAGCCGCGTGAGGGCCATGAGCGTGGGGCCAAGGACGCCGTGCAGGGGCACCAGCCACAGGCGCAGGGCCGCCTCCGAGGGCGCGGGAGGGGCCGCCAGCCGCTGCGGTCGTGGGCTCGTGGCCGCAGTCGGATATCAACCGCCAGCCGCTGTGCAGGCTTGGCCACTGGACCGGCCACCGGTGGCAACTGGCCACGGGCCGCAGGCGCGAGGTCGCCGCCACTGCAGGCCGCACGCTGAGGGGCGCGTGCGTGTGGGAGAAGCCCACTGCCATCCGGGCGTGAAGGCTCTACCGCCGGTCGAGCGCACCACCGCCGCAGCACTCGAGCATGTGGGAGCCGCGCCGCGCGTGCGGTTCCGCTTCCGCCGCCGTAAGGCAGGGCACGCGAACGCCACAAGCCATGCGGGCGGGAGCCGGAGGGGCGCGCAGCAACCAGCGTGGTGGCAGTCTTTGTGTCCAGATGCATTTTTCTCCGCCTAAGATGCCCAGCATCGACATCTTTTCTTCTCTTCCGGCCCAAAACCAGTGGATGTCGTCGTTGAAGAACAGGTTGCGCCAGCAGCATCAAAATTCTTCTACGTAACTCCTGTGCTTCGCCATATCAGGAGATCGAGATTGGCCTCCACCGTCAAGAAAGAACAAAATTGTCCTCGAATTGTCGTCGGTGTTCTCATCGCTGGTGAGACCGGCGTGCCTTCGGTTCTCCGTCTGGACTGCGATGGACAGAAGCCATCGAGTTTCGGAAGTCGCCAAAACTTAGGGAAGAGCAAGTTGCGTGATAAAACGAGAGAGATCCATGGATGTAAATGATTTTAAGTTGTATTTCAATAAACAGTGTGTACATATATACAAAGCCTATATGGACGGTTAAGAAAGAAGGGTGAAAAGACATTCCTTAAATTAATCCCTAATCGAGTATTAAATAATAATTCTCAACAGATTCACTGCTGTGCTACATTACCTAGAAAGTATGCGCAACCAATTACATTCGCACAACGTAAAGTTAGGATCACCGAGAAAAAAGAGATCTTTATGTGGCAGGCCGCCTCAGTTCCAATCATGCTGCGCTTGACCAGTATCTGGTGACCAAAAGAAGGAAGCAGCCCGGCCTTTTTTGACCACTCTTGACCCCTTGTGCTCTGCCCACTGCAAGCTTGCTTTGCAATAGCTTTGCTGCACGACAGCACGAGGCCATCTTCCTGTTCCAGTGCGTGTCTGTCCATCCTCAATTCCCCTGCCTTCCTTCAAAAGATTGCATCATCTCTCTCTCTCTCTGTTGGGAGATGCAGTTAACCGCAGCCCGCAGGTTACTCCAAGATAGGAGTATTGTATTACCCACAGGCCACAGTGTTAGTTCTGAAGTAATTGCAGAACTTTTGGTAAATTTATGAAGAATCCTTCCAACAGTTTTCACAAAACAATTATAATTTTGTTTGAAAATTGTGGAGCACCATGAAAGGTCGAATAATTATCCGAGTGACCACGGTTTGTAAAAACAAAAGGTTGCCTGTGCCTTTAAATAGCAATGTTTTCCCGAGAATATGCATGCTATGTTTGGAAGAGAAATATCATTTCTCAATATTCTCTATTATCTATATATAGAGCCCCAATGTGATATTTTTTATTGGAGTATACAAAAAGAAATATTATAAGTATATCAAACCGTTGGGATCCAGTGTATGATGATTGGATTGTTGACTCTCAAGCTAAGTCATTATTGCGATCCGATCCGATCCGCCGTCAGCTCAAGGACGGACGGCCCCGCAAGAATCTCAATTAACCTTTTTTTCAACCTCTTCCGTCCGGCGGAAACAGCACATGATTTGCCAGTCTTGCTCAATCAACGATAAGATTGGTATTTCCGGCCCCGGCGTGGGACCTACATGATTAGCTGTGGGCCATGTTTAGGATCGATCGGGCGAACGCACTTGAGCTCACACAATCCTATCGTCAGCTGTAACAGTTTTAATGGAGTTCCATGAGAATTTTATAAAATTAGTATATAATTATATATAAACTGATAGGACATACTCTCCTTTTTAAATTCTAAGACGTTTTGATTTTTCTAAATACATAATTTTTCTATATACGTAGATATACATAATAAAAATAATGTATCTAAAAAGTTAAAAGATCTTATAATTTGGAATAGATGGAGTAGTATAAATGAAAAAAGAGATGATAAAAACGTTTTATAGTGATGATAATAATCTATACTGTTTTCAACACATGAGGGTTTTTAAAATTGTAACATGAAACCTCTACTAAGACTGAATTAAAACCCTAATAGAATTAATATGTTAATCGACTTGAGCTTTTGACTTGATTGTGTTTAAGATCTTGCAACAAAGCATACTTTTTCCTGTCCCCTTTTCTCCTCACTCTAGATTTAGAAATTGAGAGGAAGGTAAGTCTGGTGACGGTATCGAGTGACGGGTGGCTAGGTAGTGGCGGTGGGCTCTAAGCGAGGGTGTGACTACTAGAGATGCTATTGTAATGTGAAGTTGAGAGAGATGAAGAATGCACTATGCAAGCGCTGAGCCTTAGTGTTGCGTGCTTGTGCAAAGCTCATCATAACATGACGTGCTTTAAGGTGGGTTGGTTTTGCCACTTGGATCAATTGGTGTGTCTATTATGTGCTCATCAAAATAGCCATCATCCGAGTAACTCCTATGGGAGTAATATATTGTGGTCACTATCCGTTACTTAGAGTAACACTTGTGATTACCCATTACTCCACGCAGTGGTTACTCTTTGAGTAACATCGCTAGCGTCTAGGTCCGTTTCCAATCCTTTGGCTTCCTCTCTGCTAGGGCTACAGGAACAATGGGTCTCCTTGTATCTCATGCCTACCAAAGAAATGATTTGCGCCATTATATTCTCTGAACAGAGAAGAAGGCGACCGGATCCTGCAGCAAAGGCAGGTGGCATCCCACTGTAACAGTATTTTCTTCCCCTACTATCGCATTTTATTGCTCTAATGGAATCTAAAATATCCCGATTATATAGTACTGTTGGGTTCTGTCGGGGTGGCTTCGTTCCCTGGCTGGTTCCATTTGTGCGCGTGTCCGATTACGTCTCATCCTCTGTCCCAATCAGATGATGTTTAATAATTAAATTGTATAAATCAGACAGTTTGGACTCTGTCTCAATCCAAACTAGGCAGGATGTCACAAATAGTCTATAATTAAGCTAGGAATTTTAATAATTTTTAATAAACACTTTGGCCAATAAAATAATTAAATATTTAGATGATTACAAATTCGAAGATGAATATGCAAAGAATTCTGTTTGTGGTTCTTCATGTTAAAAAAGGGGTTTTAATTTTAGCTATAGTAACTCACTACCCAATATACCTTTAATTATTCACAAGCCCATCCAACAAAATGCTGTAGCATACTCCCACTGCCACTATAGCTGCCATAGCTGGTCCGGTGTTCACCAAAAAGGCAAAAACTACAATGATAAGCTCTTGTGCAGTTATCTGGTTGTCCCATCCTTTCCTTATTTTGGCTGAAATGATGAATTGCAGTCAATGCCATCTATTACTGTGTCGTTACATCCACAATTTAATCATCATTATACTGGTTTGTTATCTTTTACAGTTGAACAATGACTGCTCAACCAAAGAAGAGGACTATTGTGGAAAGTGGAGATGGAGGTCTCGGTTTGGGCCTTGCTACATTTACTGCAAATGGTGAGGATTTGGGTCCCATCATTCGTCACTCGTTTGACTCTGGGAAACCTGAAGCGCTCATGCAGAACCTTAGAAGCATTGTGAAGAAGAAGGAAGTTGAGATTGAAGAGCTATGCAGACTTCACTATGAGGATTTCATCCTTGCTGTCGACGAACTACGCGGCGTGTTAGTCAATGCTGATGAGTTAAAGGGCATGCTATCTGGCGAGAATTCACACCTGTAAGAGGCTTCTACTGACCAACTGCTGAAGCTCGATGAACTTCTTGAGCTATATTCTGTCAAGAAAAACGTAGGGGAGGCCATAACAACGTTGAAGATATGTGTCAAGGTCTTCAGCTTGTGCATGACATGCAACAATTATATTGCCGAAGCTAAGTTTGATCCTGCACTTAAGACACTGGACCTGATTCAGAAAGGCTACCTGCGAAATATTCCTTTGAAGCTTCTTAACAAGGTGGTGGCAAGACAGATAGCATTGATAAAGCTGCAAAAGAGAAGAAAGTCTGTAGTGAGTTCAATGATTGGCTTGTTCATATTAGAAGAATGGCCAAGCAGATTGGCCAGGCCTCCATAAGCCAGGCATCGTTAGCTCGCCAAAAGGATGAGGAAATGCGTGCCCGACAGAGGGAAGCTGAAGGGCATAGTCATGCTGGACCAGATGAGCATCTGTATACCTTGGACCTGGAGAATACAGAAGAGGAATCAGCACTACATTTTGATCTGACACCAGTTTATCGGGCGCATCACATGCACACATGTCTTGGTATTGGTGAGAAGTTCAGAGACTATTACTATAAGAATAGGCTCATGCAACTCAACTTGGACATGCAAATTTCCACTTCACAGCCCTTCTTAGAGTCCCATCAACCCTTTCTTGCACAAGTAGCTGGATTTTTTATAGTTGAAGAACGCGTTCTTCGAACTGCAGATGGATTGTTGTCGGAGAGTCAAGTGGAAACAATATGGGAGACAGCTATTGGCAAGATAACTTCTATACTGGAGGAACAGTTCTCTCGCATGCGTACAGCCAGCCACTTCCTTCTGATAAAAGACTATGTCACTCTTCTAGGCGCAGCTGTGAACAAGTACAGTTATCGAATCACACAGTTGATTGAAGTTCTTGAGAAAAGTAGGGACAAATACCACCAGTTGCTTCTTGAATGTCGGAAGCAGATAGACGACATCCTTACTAATGACTCGTATGAGCAGATGGTTATAAAGAAGGAATATGAGTATAACATGAATGTGACAGCATTTCATCTGGAACACGATGATGCAATCCCTGATTTCCCATATGTGACGCCATTCTCCTCTTCTGTTCCAGATGTGTGTCGAATTGTCCGGTCCTTCATCGAGGATTCTGTTAGCTACTTGTCATACGGTGGTCTCATGAACATCTATGATGTGGTGAAAGCATTCCTAGACAGGTTGCTAATTGAGGTACTGAATGACAGTCTTTTGAACATGATATATGCTCGTTCGCTGGGCATGTCACAGATGATGCAACTTGCTGGAAATATATCAGTTCTTGAGCAAGCATGTGGTATGTTTCTGTTGCACTCTGCCCAACTGTGCGGCATTCCAAAGCGTGTTGCTGAGAGATCCCATTCTGGTTTGACTGCTCGAGCAGTCCTGAAAGCCGTATAATGCTCTAATAAACCTGACCAATTTCAAGGTTGATGAGTTCATGGTGCTCCTGGAAGGGGTCAACTGGATAGCAGAAGTAGCCCCAGACAATTCAAATGACTATGTGAATGAGGTTCTGATCTATCTTGAAACATTAGTATCGACAGCACAAGAGATTCTACCTTTGGAAGCTCTATACAAGGTGGTTTCTGGTGCAATGAGCCACATCTCAGACTCTATAATGACCACACTTCTAAATGATGGTGTGAAAAGATTCACTGTCAATGCAGTTTTAGGAATTGATATTGACTTGAAGATGCTGGAAGCATTTGCAGATGAGAAATTTGACAGCACGGGGCTGTCAGATTTGGGAAAGGAAACAACTTTCAGAGATTGTTTAGTTGAAATTAGGCAGCTCGTAAATCTCCTGCTCAGTAGCCAGCCTGAGAATTTTATGAATCCGGTGATCAGGCAGAGAAACTACGGATCACTAGACTACAAGAAGCTGTCCATCATTTGTGACAAGTACAAGGATTCTGCAGACAGTCTGTTTGGAAGCCTTTCAAACCGTAATACCCATCAGAGCGCCCGTAAGAAATCTATGGACATTTTGAAGAGAAGGCTTAAGGATTTTAGTTAAGGTTAAATTTGTTGCATTTACAAATAAATTGCTGGCACTAGTATATAGTATCTACCTTTTAGGTGTTTTTAGATCTCTTATTCAACTCCCTCGATTACTTTCCTATGGATACAATACAATACAATAGGTAGGTCGATTTGTCTGTGTAGGTGAAGTGCCGACAGTTAGTGAATTGTGGTAGCACTCCTAATTAAGGGGTCATTCCTATAGCAGAAGTGTTGAATGTTCAAACATATTTTTTGTTTATATACTGCAAGTCTGCAACTGATTTCTTCATAAATGAAATAGAATCGGAGTTGATAAAAATTTGTATGTTTAGTATCAATCTTAGCTCTGTTTGAAGCCTGCTGTTGATACCTTTTTGCAATTGTATCAAGAACATGTTAGGTTGGAATCGGTTTGTTAATGATAAACAACCTGTTCCAAATGATGTTTTGAGTCTTAATACAGATAAACTTTGCAGCATTTGCAAAATCCCATTCCCCTATAAATTGCGAATCCAAGCTTGCTGCCGTTCAATCAGAATCTGCTGATGCAAGAAGCATCCGATCAGCTGTGCCTATACATAGGCAAAAACATAAGTGCCCCACATTTTGAGGGGTCATTCCTTAAAAATAAGTGCATGGAATATGGAACACTGTGCAGCTTGTTTAATTCAGATCTCAGTGGCAATTGCATACATAATCCCCATCTAACCTTCAAGTGCCTTGTATCCTTTGGAGTCATATACTCTTGCGACTATAACTACGGAGCCAAGGAACAAGTGATAGACATCTCTGTCAGAGAGAAGGGAGGGAGGGAGAGAGAGGGAGAGAGAGATGGGGAGGAAGCCATGCTGCCCCAAGGAGGGGCTGAACAGGGGAGCTTGGACATCAATGGAGGATGGCATCCTTGTCTCCTACATCCAGAAGCATGGAGAGGGCAAATGGGGAAGCCTCCCCAGAAGAGCTGGTCTGTCACTCGTCTCTCATGCTCTGTCTCTTTACTCTGGAAACACATGTTTATCATTTTGTCAGTTAAATTCTGCTTTGATGTCGTTTAAGATTTCTGTGCTACTGTCTCTGTTTGGTTTGATCACTTCTTGAAATCACATCATCTATTCACTAAAATAATAAAACGAGTAGATGATTGCAATGGCCAAGCATGGCATGTCAATCGACAAGTTCACTGGCTGTTGCAGGACTGAAGCGGTGCGGGAAGAGCTGCCGGCTGCGGTGGCTCAACTACCTTCGGCCGGGCATCAATCGAGGTAACATCTCGGATGATGAAGAGGAGCTCATCATCAGGCTCCACAGGCTCCTAGGCAACAGGTAGGTTCCCCTAAACATCCTATACATTCACCAGTTGATCCAGATCCTCCCTTTGCATTTCAAAACCTCCTAAGCTGAAGTCAACATACATTTTGGTTTAGAGAATATTAGGCGCGTGTACACACACAAGGATAGAAACTTTCTGTTGGGATTTTTTTTTCTGTGTTGTACTCATCTGATCGGATAAAGTTGGTGTGCAGATGAGTGTAAGATTAATTGTATTCAGTTATCATAACCGCTAGTGCCACTTTATGCAAATCTGTCAGCACCACCTTGCCAATTCGGCTCCATCTCTAGAAGCACAAGTTTTACGCTGTTAGTGCAGTGTCTCTCTATCCTGGGAGGGGGCTGAGAGAGTTAGTTGCTGGTCAGCAAAGTTGATGGTGACAGGTAGACAGGCTCTCTATATAAAGCACGCGAAAAATGACACACTGCACACCACCCTAGGAAGAGCACACGGACAACCACTTTCCAGCTGTGTCTCTCCCCGAATCTGCAAAATCCAAAAGATTTCGTCTGACCGCAGAAGCATTGTTCTTTCACAAATGGAAAAGCGGAGCGAACCTTGTTCAGTGCTGTCAATGCATTTGATCAAGACAGGATGAACTTACTTGATCTGACTGATGCATAAATGAAATTAAATTCAGTGACCAAAAGAAGAAGTTTTTATTGGTAATTAATCCATCCATTCATGCATGGTCGCCGGACAGGTGGTCGCTGATCGCCGGGCGGCTGCCGGGGCGAACAGACAATGAAATCAAGAACTACTGGAACACGACGCTCGGCAAGAAGGTGCTCAAGAACAGCAGCGGCTCGAAACAAGACAGCGAGGCCGCCGGCGCATCATCGAAACGCAGGCCATTCTCACAACCGACCAGAACCGTCGGCGACGCTGCCCCTAAGGCTCATGCGCGGGGGCGGCCGCCGGAGGCAAGCCCGGTCCGGAGCAAGGCGCTGCGTTGCACCAGCACCGCCATGCTGCCGGCGGTGGTGCAGCCCGCCGCCCATACGCGCCACGGCTGTGCGTTGGAGACAGCTGCGGGCGACGATCACGTTAACGCGGCGGAGCAGACGGTCGTCGTCGTCAAGGCGCCGACCGTGGAGGTGCGACAGGATCATCTGCCGGAGGATGACTTGTCGATCGACCTCGACCTCGACCTCGACTTCGATATGGGTGAGCTGGGTTTCCTGAGCCCGTGGCGCGGCGAGGTCGCAGACAGCATAGAGCCAGGCGGTCAGTTCGGCGGTGACGAGCTTGACGACGATCTGGAGGCGCTGCTGCTGGGGCCGGGAGGTGACGATGATATTCATGAGTTTGCATGGTTCTGATGGATCATTTCAAGGCTGCATGAGCGTTGGTCGTCAGCCATCATCAGTGAAAACCCGAAGATGGTGGCTCGATCAGTTCATTTCACCTCTTGTACAAATTCTCCAAAAAGTTCGCCTCTGGTTCAGAATAAAGCAGCAAAGGACCAAGTCGAACTTTGATGGCAGTAACATTTTCTTCCCCTTTAATCGAACAAAAACATTTCCATATAAAGTGGCCAGAGCAATTTCATGGTATAAGCAGGCACATCGCTAGCTACATGTCAACAGTTTTAAAGGTTGTCTTATACAATGTCATTTAGGATTTTTTTGGTGATGTAGAGAAGAGAGGAAGGTAAGAGAGATGGCTATTTTGTGAAGCAACCGCCTCATGAGCAAAAAAATTAGGACTATAAAATAACCATTTCACCATTGTACGATCTAATGTTACCGTGCAAATCAAACTTTTCTCTGTTGTTGCATAAATGAGGATAATAAATTATTATAAGACAATTTAAAAGACAAACCCATTGTATGAGCTGCATACCACTGTTCTAGATATATATAACAGCACGGCAAAAAAGTATATATAGCAACAATACCTCCACCTAGTAGTAGAGTATAATATAGCAGCATAGGAACAAAGTACCCTACCACCGTACCATATAGAGGCGTGGATGGGCCTTTAGAATTTATCAAGAATTCATTTGCGCCAAAACTTTGGGGCCCAAGGACATGGAATGACAGCCCAGGACAGGAATGAAGAGTATAGCACAACGACCGCCACTTGAACCACCCGGCCAGAAAAGCGGAACCGAATCGCTGGGATACACGAACTTCCAAGAAGAGAGAGCACAAGGTGGCAGCAGGCGATTAGCAACATCGCAACTGCCATCCAGCTAGGCTGACATGCACTGCTCTGTTCTGGTGCAACAAATCAAGCAACACCACTCCGTATAGTCTGTTGGAATTTTGGACAATTTCAGTAATAATTTAATCTAGAAAATAGCAATAATCAAAAGGTTTATGACACCATGTATGTGTTTGTATGATCTTATTGTGGCTAATATGTATAACATACTAAGAAACGAGATTGAAGCCAAAAACCTTACGGAAAAAGCGGCGGAGCCGGATGCACTCGAAGACATAGTACCTATCGGTGTAGTCGTCCCGCTCGACGCAGTACAGACGAGTAGCAGTGCTGATCACCGGAGATGGAGTTCCCCAGTAGCGAGTAGTCGTGCCACCAGCGACGCTCCCCAAAAACGTGATTGCCGCCTTCCACTCGAGCAGGCGAACTGGTAGACGGCAGGCGTTTCGGAGGCCTACTCTCTCAGGACTCGTGCGCGCAAGTACCGGAACAGAGAAGCTTTGGGGCAGTTTGAATATATGGTTGTCTCGGAAGCGAAAAAGATGATCGACGAAGCCGAGATTATAAACTCACGGACAGGGAAGTAAATGGGCGCAGGAGGAGATTAGAGGACGGAGAAGACGTGCGAGCACAGAAGGACAGAGACGGCAGTAAGAGGCGAAACTTCCGCCATGAAGCCGCCACTAACACAAAAGGAAATAACTCCCGTAATTATGTGATCTGATTGGCAAAACCCGTCCCATCCGCTCGCTCGCTCGCCGCCTGCCTCACCTCACCTCGCCCACGGCACGGCCCGGATGGCCATGACACGCGCGCGTGTGGCACACCAATCATCCTTTTCTCAGCTTCTCAATATAGATAGACAATGTTCAACCATATAAACTGAGTCAACGTCAAGTCAAAATCCCGTATGGTATTAAACCATAGATCGCGCATTAATTAATACGAGCCATATAGTTTATTTGATTTATTAAATATTATATGGGCCAAGCCCATAATATATCTAACAATCCCCACCAAACTCTAGGGTTCGTAGTAAGATAGTCTCAAAACCATATTTCTTTGATATACCAGAGTTTCAACGGAGACCGTTAAGTTGAACATCCGTCTAGAACATAAGTTCCACTCATTCACAATTGAACAATGGACTACGCCTTGAATTGACAGTTTTGTGCGAAATGAGTTTCACCAAAGTTCTTTCATGGTACTAGGCTGCTACAAGCATCCCCTCTGTTTGAAGCATATAAGTCACACTTCGATGCTTTTCATGAGTATCTAGAGATTACCCACATCTCATAGACTATGACTAGCAGTCGAACTCATGTAGGTGTGTTACTTCTAGGATGTTTTGCAGGGCAACATCCCTGCTTAAATAAGCCACTCGGACCATATTAAAGAATTAACCAACCTGCCATACAGCATAGGAGAAACAATGCATATTATAACGATTTGGACTTTAATGTAAGGGGTTTCTCCATCAGTTAACCACTAGCTTGTTTCGCCATTCTAATTCA